GTCTCGTGTAATTGAATGTCATTTCTGTATCTTTTGCCTTAATTATTTTATTATTATGATTGATTGATTGATTGATTGATTGATTGATTGATTGATTGATTGAACGAACGAGCAATTATCAAAATATTACAAGCAATACAAAAGTTCCCTAGAACCCTAGCAACATTCTGAAGAGTCATGGCCATCCAATTATGCCATTGTAGAGTATTGAATCTTCTCATACATGATACGGGTGATAATAAGGACCATTTACTCTAAAGTATAACTTAAGAGCTAAAGAAGTTATAGACAACAAACATTTTTATGAAAACTGCAAGTTAAAGGGGGAGGGGAGCGGGTAGAGTGTAAAATGTCGCCGATCTTGGGTGAGTAGAACAGCTCTCGATATACTCCCTGTGGCCGAGCTTAAAGTGACGTGCATACTCTACATACTGTCATCTATCCATATTTCAAGTTTCATAATATTGTTATATTTGTCATATTAGTGTTATATTTGTCAAATTTAAAGTCCATTTGTTGCCATAGCAACCAAACCTTTCAACACTGGAAGAAAAAAAGCGTACACAATCTCCAGTACTGTCATCTACCCATATTTCAAGTTTCATAAAAATATGGGCAGTGTTTGTGGATGACTAACTTGCCTTATTTTAAGTATATATTTGTTTCCATAGCAATCATTTTTTTCAACATAGGAAGAAAATAAAAGAAGTGCATAATCCATACAACCATCAACCAATATTTCATAAAATTTTCATGAAACATTTTCATTACTTTTTGAGTTATCACAAATTTCGTTAAAATTGTCATATTTAAAGTCTAGTTGTTACCATAGCAACACAATTTTCAACATATGTGTGAAGAAAATCTGCCATCTACCAATATTTCAAGTTTCATAAAAATATTTTCAGCACTTTTTGCGTTATTATGGGATGTATTTGTTGGCATAGCAACCAAGTTTTTCAACACAGGAGCGCAATGTGCATATTAATAGTTTAAGTACTTTTTGCATTATTACGGGATCCAGTTTTGTGGACGGACTGACAGATGCATGAAGGGGTGGACAGACAGACGGACCTTAAGTCTATCCGGTGAAACCGGTAGGAGACTAATGAAACTAATATAAGTATTGTAGATTGAGTCGACGTATGCGTCAATGAATTAACGTTTACTCACACACATTTGCTAGGGTACGATCTCGCTCGCTTTAAAGCTAGTATTATGTATATTATATTATTAATTACGCCGCTTTTAGAATTAAATTTTAGATAATAATAGCAGAGACAGCTGAATTAGCTAATGTACCAAATGGTCATCTGTCTAATTGCCTCTCTTCAATGTGTCAACTCTATAGTGGTTAGCAACGAAAAGACGATGATAACAAATGACTTGATTCGTGAGATATTTAGAAGCATACTTAAATGTTTCTCATCTGTTGCCAATCGGACCCTTCACGCTGACAATTTTGATACCATTAAAGTCGAACCTGATTATAAAAGTGACCGTATTAAAGTCCCAAAGAGATATCTTCCTAGCGTAATGATGGCAAATTGGAATGCGGAGTGGTTTCGACGGGGCAACAGACTCGCTTGTTTATTGGGAACTACTTTCTTGCCACGCAAAAGAAACACAACATTGACAAATGAAGTTTTTATCCGATAAAAATCATAAAAAACTTATCTTTTTGTAGTTTTGTGTCTTTTTAAGTTGTTTCAAAATCGATTACAATATATTTACACTGACTCGAGCGTTTCAAGACTAAATTTTATCCAAGCAGTTATGTCTAATAGAAGATATACATTTCAATACAGACATTTTCAACAATACAGCACTGGTGTCAGGCCCAGAAAGGAAAAGTAAATATTATTAAATGTAAAAGTGTTATAATATTAAAAAAGCGCCTGTGTTGAATTCTTCATATGACTTCAAAGCCATGTCAGAATTCCAGACAATGTCAAAATTCCATGCCATGCAAGGATTCCAATCCATGCAAGAATTTGGGGTCATTTTAGCATTCCTTTCCACGTTTTTCCAGAAATGGCTTCTTCGCACTTCAGTTTATCAGCTATTGAATGGAGAAGAACTACCATTAAACAAACATTGTTTTTCACTATAATTTACATTGAATATATCTTACATGTAAAGAATAATGTAATGAAAATATATGTGCAGTTTTAAATATGATAAATAGCATTGTAACAATATCTATAGATAAACAGAATACATTATCGAACGGGAATGTACACAAAAACCCAAATAAAGTGCTGATTTTGCTAAATTTAGTATGCAAATATACGCCCCAAATTCACATAAGTGAATCAAGAAAACAAAAAAACTAAATTGTTCTATACTTTTACTTAAAATAGTATGCAATGCATCAAAAAAGCAAATTGTTTGGCTGGCCTAACAGAGAAGTAGATAAATACGTAAGTTGTTAAATATCAGTTTAGACATTCATTTAGCATTAATTATAAGTTTGGTGTAACAAACTTTAGCAAGGAATATGAACTATTGCAATTATGAATAACACACACATAAAATTATAAACATTCTATAAATAATTTGTTAGGCTGACCTAGCACACTTTTGGCCAGCTTACATCAGGAGTAACAAATATATAAAATTATGAACATTCAAAAAATGAGATCAGATTTCTGAAATGTATTTTTAAAGTTACACTTAAAACTGTTTGATAAGAGATAACAAATATACAAAGTAAATAAAGTTAAAATCAAACAATTATAAAAATGTTTGGCTGGCCTAACAAAATTTTAGAAATCACAGTAATTGAAAACAATCTGAGCAGCCTTACATCAGACATTTAACAAATTAATTGTTTCAACATATTAAAATAAAAAGGTAGGCTGGCCCGACAAATTTTTAACAATTATTTATAATTTATCCAAAAAAAAACAACAACAAAAAACTGTTAACCAGACTAACATCTATAAGTTTACAGCTTCAATTAGGCTGGCCCAACTTTTAGGATTAACAGACATTTTTATTATCATAATTAAATATCAATTTAGTGATACATACAGTATTTATTGTAAGGCTGACCTAACACACTTTAGAAAGGAATATTAACTTTTCCATTCGAAAACTGTTTGACTAGTTTACATCATGAACACGTACATAAAATTATAAATATTTAACAATGGAATGTTAGGCTGGCCCAACAAATTTCAGAGTCATTGAAAACTGTCTGACCAACATCACACATTTAAAGAATTATTGATGTAACAAAACATTTATTCAGTGCTTTACTGTTTTGTGGCACCGTGGAATCACAAGTAGAGCTCAGTGGGCATGTAGATTTAAAACACATTTGATCACTGCCAATATTGACGGAAATATTTATTTCAATCTTTATTCATAAATTAATATAGATTTATCAAATACATGCTTGAATAAAAATAGTTTGAAGTATTATGAATTTAACTTTCCTCTTAACCGTTCAAGCTGTTATTTACTGAACGTATGATGGTGAATATGGTTTGATTTTGACTTGAGTCACGTTGTCAGAGCCTTCTAATACAGATAGCTTTGTCACTTTGCTTGAAATCGATTTAATAACAATTAATATAAATAAAGCTAATAAGAATTAAGTTTTATTTTAACAGGATTCGCTTTATTTGAATATAAAATTTATATAAATATTTTAATAAACTCTTTCTCTTTTGACGATTTATTTAAATATCTGTAACTTGTTACAGTTATCAATACACTGTTGAATTTATTGTTTAAAAAAGGAAACATTTCAAGCAATTCTAAAGTCGATTTTTCCTGCAGTTGAAAGGTTTTCGACCACATTTAACAAGGTATCTAATTAGAAAATGTGTGAACGAACAGTTGTTATTAATGTGTTTCCCAAACACTTCCAGCGACTACATTACAGTTACCTCATATATTGATACAAGAAATGGCGATAATGTGTAAATACTTCAGAGAAAAGAAAAATTGAACATGAAGCCTAATCCAAATATGGTAATGTTTAGAACAAACACTTACCTTTTTCGACCACACACACAACGTGTCATCTATAAGGGAGTTTCCATTAAGTTTTAGACTATTGACGTAACTATCATTTTGCTATGTTTTATCATTTCTTACCAATACAAATGATATGTAATGAAATAACCTGATACTTTTCACTCCTTAATTTATTTTAACTTCTTGAAATAAATGGGACACTTCAAAACCAGACGGCGTTGTATGTGGTGTTTCCGTTTAAAGTTTAAGCATTATTAAAACGGATTGAGACATTTTAATGGTTTTGCAACAAATTTCAAGAAATCTTTAGAAAGGGACTGCCTTATAAAAGCACTGGTGAGATCTTATCCATGACGAGACTGGAAATATTTTACTGATGTGTATGCAAAATTTTAGAACATTGGCTTCTCTGTTTGCCCAGAACAATCATTTTTATTTGGCAAAATAGTCTAAAAATGAAAAACTATGCTTAAAAATTCAATGCCACGTAGAACATTTTTCTGACCATTTCGGTTGTTTTGCTAAAATAGTGGTATAAAAAAGTCTTTGTATAAGATGATGTTTTGACTTCGGAACTCATTGTCGGCTGCACGTCTCCAGTAGGCTGTCTCCAGTAGGCTGAATCATTTTTCAAAAGGTCAAACATAAGAAAAATATATATTTGTATTAAGAATTTTAGAAATGTACACACGTATACTCACAATTCACGATTCTACCCGTACATTACATTTTGCATATCAGAATCATTAGAGATATTTTTTGTGGATATAGTGAAGGCTATACCTATGAATCCGAAATAAAATTCATGTCATTTATTTTGACGTTTATATATAAGTAACACTTTTTCATTACTATCATACTAGTAACTGTTACAAAATAAATGTGTTATAAAATTATAAAGACAGTTAACGCAAATATTTAACTACTATGTGGATGTATCAGATACATGTGCTATATTTGTAAATATCTAAAAATCTAAGGTGAAGATGGAAAGTGAAAACACAGCACTGTCAAATTTACTATTTTTATTACAAATAAATACAAATTTACGCCACAAGTGAACTTTTAACGGTTTACAAAAAATAAACACTCGACAAAAAGTAGTATATTATTTGTATTGTCATATAAATTCTGCTATGTAGCTGGAGGTCACATAAAATCTGATTAATGTCACAATAAACCTGCCGTATATCACGAAAGTCACAAAAAATCAGTCAGCACAGAATACTTTTATAAAATAATAACGTGTGTTTGTCTTGAGACTTATTCTTGGAAAAGTGTTTTAACGTGTCACGAAGCACATAAGTTGAAATTATATAAATAATTCATTTGTATTCTATTTTTCTATATCAAGTAAACGTCAATTACTTGTTCGAGATATATATTTTCGTCATTTGACCTACTGTTTTTTTTTCTATTCTTAATAGTATGCATTCTTTAATATTAATTTAAATATCTAGATTTATATACTTTGCAAACAATAGTTACACAAATGTCTGCTACTTTGAAAGTAAATTCTGCTTGACATGTGTTTCACTAGAGTTTCAGTTTGTTTTGTTTTTTCTTATTTTGTTATCACATTTCTATTGTTTCTTATTCTTTTCAGTTTCTCCTGAAGAGTTTCTTTCTGATATCTTTGTTAAATCTCTAGCCTCATTATTTCGGTATGGGAGAATAGAAAATGGTGTGCCCAAAAGTCCATTCATGGTACCTGTATATCCCGGAAGTCCGGAATATGTCCCGTGCGGAAACGGAAGTCCGAGGCTGGTACTAGAATATTGTCCCTGGGTAAAGTGCGACGCTAAAGGATTTGCAGACGACAAACTCGGGTAGCCGGGTAAAAACGCTGAATGAAGTCCTGTCAATGCGGGCAAATTAGGTAATGGTTTGAATGCTGATTTTAAGTCAAATGTTTGTGAATGCGAGGGACCGTATTGCGAGTTTGATCCTTGAATCCAGTGAGACGGGTTCGAGTACGGGCTAAATCTAAAATTTGACGCCTTTGTAGCGTCCACTTTACCATGCGCATCAATAGTGTCTTGGGCTGACAAGAACTGCTCAATTGCTTTCACAATATCGCCGTTACATCCTTGCAAAACAAGTTCAAGAACAGACTTCCTGTGCAGAGGAAACACTCTTTCCAAAATTTCTAAGTTTGTCAAACGACCCGGTGTGAACGCCGCCGGTCTGATAACGTTTGATTTAATCATTGAATCTCTTTCGTCACATTTCCCGTCTTGCTTCTCCGGTGTTTCCGGCGTTTGGATTCGTCTTTGGCACTCTTCTTGTTTAGAGAAATGGGGATCTTCTTCTGAACAGATGCTTATGTCGTCCTCATCTTCAGATCGACCGTCTAAAATTAAAATATTATTGTAAAGATGTGTCATTACCGTATTATTTAAAGCAGCATGTCTCCAAATGCATGCTAATTTGGTGAAAATTTGTAAAATGTCTTTAAATGGAAATTTATTGTCAAGTGAACAAAGACAATAATTTACACATTGCAAAGCAATGTAATTATACTTACATCAGAATATGCAAAAATTGTCCTTACTGCGTAAGTCACGCAGTAAAAATATGGCGATATATACAAAAATAAATTACATGTTAATTATTTCTTGAATTGTGAATATTATTACTTTTCTTTAAATCTTAGTACATTTTTTTTTCAATGTTGATTTTCGTGAAATATTTTCACTCATCTGGAGGCATGCAGCTTTAATATCATTACATAAACTATCAAATTTCATATGAAGTCAATTTTTTCCGCGTGAAGGGCAATTGAAATTATTATTAAACGATAGTTTCTATAAAACAAAATAGATTTTAATAAGCAAAATAGATCTTAATAAACAAAATGTTTTTAAATCTTATAAACTTTTCTTTGAAGATATGTAATGCAATATGGTCGCGAAAAAAATTCAACACATACCAGGACTTGGTTGAGATTTTGACAATCTCTCAGTATGATCTCGCTCTACATTTGCAGACGGCGGTGCAACAGTGCCCGGGCCCCAGAGCGGCCCCTGAGTCATTATCGGCAAAGAAGTCTCACTCCCAGCGCATGCTCTTATGCCAAGAGCAATTGCGTCTTCTGTGGCTTGTTGTCTTTTCAATGCAACTTGAGCTGCCATCACACGTTGTCGTTCGGCGATTAGATTACACTTTGCGCACGTGCAGTCTTTGAAGTCACAGTGACGTTTATGCCCTTTTAACCAGGACACCATTCCGTGATTTCTGCATCTTGCGCATTTTGGCTTTCGAGTCCCTTTTTCCGTGACAGGATATAGATGCGACAAAGAATTCATATTAATATCCTTTTTACAAGATAATTTCAATTTTTTCCTACTTTATTGTCACTTTTAATTGAGATCCGAAACTCCTTTCTTGAATTACAAGTACATTTTCATTAAATGTATTTATTTAAATGATGAGCATTCAAACATTTCCACACAAAAGCTACTGGAATAAAAATCAGTCGAGTGTTTCTCATAAAATAACTTTTCAAAACTGATGCGATATTAATTTATAGAGTTGATAGAATTTCAAAATAGCCACATATTTGATCGACAAGTTAATGTAAATAATGGGAGGATATCTTTCAATGTTCGAAATATTTACTTATCAAAGAATTTATCGATATTTTCTCCCATGGTATTGGCTGAGCGGCATATGATTGATAAACAAAGGGCGGATCTTTGTCACGTGATTCAACACACAAATTTTGAATATTCATGAGAATTAAAGGCAACGGAAGTAGATTTTACATATAGTTTCCTCAATATTCTAACTTTTACCGATAGAAAATGAAAATTAAAATATGAACAAGTAGAGGTTTTTAAGCTAAAGCATCAAGTCGCCGGATAGAAAAAAAAATGATTGTTTTATCAAAAATTTAAGAAAAATCATTTGAATGGTTTATGCATATAGAAAAGAGGAACAGTATGTAACTGTTTATTCACAATAAAACATCATATTTAAAACAAACTTGCCTGGCAATAATTGTCAAGAAACTGTTAAGCAAGTAATAACACTAAATTCACCATGAATAAAACGGATTTATATATATGTTAAATTATTGTATCAAACAATGCAATTCTAACAACAATAAAAGTAAAGAATAAATTCTTGCAAAGTGACAAGAAACATATATGTGTTTAATTATTGTATGAAACAATGCAATTCTACTGTAATTCTAGAAGGTACTGACTACAAAGTTAAAAAGGTTTTTTTCTTGTCTTCAACAATCTTTCTTTTCTCATATTTCCTACTCATTTTTATTAAAAATATATAATACTGTAGGCTAAAAAATACTTCAAAAAATATAAAGACATCAAAATATCTGTTATACATGTAATTTGTATTAATCAACTACACCATATAATGACTAGTATATCGATTCAAACTTAAGTATGAGATAGTATTAGAGGTGTACCAGTATTCTGAAATACATTGACGGAGGTCATATCTACTGGATCTAGGAATTTTTCCTAACCACAGATATGACACATTATTTTTAAAGTTACTTTCGTCTAAATAAGTCACTTTCGTATTATAGTCATGTCCTTAGTAAAGGCGCTGTATAACCATAAAGAAATCCCGGGAAATCGCATTAAGAAAAACCGGAACCGTATAAGATATCTAGAGATCCCAGGAATTGATCACTACCATATTGCTTTCAGAAAAGCTGGGATACAGAGATCCCGGGAATTGTGCATCTGGCATTGATGTTGAAAGGTTTTTTGATATAAATTATGTTAAGTATATCTCATGATCTTTTTCTAAAAATACTACTATTGTAATGATATACATGAACAAAAAACTTTAGTCAATATTGTGTACTAACAAAAATTTCAATTATACAAGTATTGTGATTTCAGCATTTCAAGTTTGTTAATAAGTAGCTCTGAATATATTTAAATCTTTAAATAATTGAAATCAATATACCCGTCGTTACATACGATATATAAAAAGTTTAATTGCCTTTCATTGCGACAAATATCAACACAAATATAGTTTACTTGTTTTCTCTATATATCTAATATGATCCAGAATTCCGGGTGTCCCGGAACCTACCGTCGTACTGTTTTGAAAACCTGCTCGAAGGAAATCGACGGAATATAACGAAATCAATGATTACCACTATTTATTTTAATTCATTATATGATCTAAATATAGCTGCAATCTCATTGGTCGAAACAGTAGTCAAAAAATCATATTCACTGGATGTAGGCTGAATTGGATTTGCCCAGTTAAAAAATAGATTGAGAGTGCTTATTGTTGCGTTTTGTTTTTTATGGTATATTTCTCGATTAAAATATCATTACTTTACTATTATAGTTAAAAGGCACACCGCAATGATGAGTATAAACTTGAATTACTTTTGTTCGGGTAGTTGTTGCACGCCTTACACGTGCGTCTTTTTCCCCCGCGCTTCAACGAAACAGGAAAAGGTCGTACATGTATAAGGTTGTAGAGAGTCATATTGTCGCCTTGGTCAATATGTTATCAAACGGCAAATATCACATCATATTCAATGGCACACTAGTTAATAATTGTATATTATTATATGATCTAAATATAGCTGCAATCTCATTGGTCCAAACAGTAGTCAACAGAACGTTTTATAGAATCATATTCACTGGGTGTAGTATCATATTCACTGGCTGAATTGGATTTTCCAAGTCTAAAAATAGATTGAGACTCATATTCAATGACCATATATCGTAGACTGTTAATAACGCGTGCTTATTAAAATATAACTGTTGCGTTTTGTTCTTTATGGTATATTTCTCACTTTACAATTACAGTTAAAAGTTACACCGCAATGATGAGTATAAACTTGAATTACTTTTGTATGCCAACGTTCGCGTAGTTGTTGCACGCCTTTCACGTGCCTCTTTTTCCCGCGCTTCAACGAAACAGGCATAAATTGTACATGTATAAAGTTGTACTGTCTGTGATTTTCTTTAAATTCTGATAGCCTATTCATATAATAAAACAATTATTGACTAGTGTGCCATTGAATATGATGGTGATATTCACCGGCAGAAAGTCATATTGACCTCGGCTATCGCCTCGGTCAATATGTCATCTGCCGGTGAATATCACATCATATTCAATGGCACACTAGTCAATAATTGTATAATAATGTACATGTTTTATATAGTAATTATAGTAATTTAATACAGGGAGTTGCTGACAAGTTTTTATCCCCAATATATCAAGTAAAAGTCCAAATAAAATAAGTGAATTCATAAAGATACAAAAGCAAACAATACATTATTTATATATTTTATTATCGTGGTTGTAGAAAATGCCAAACTGTTGACATTAAGTCGGATTTGTTTAAATTTGTACATCATTTGATATATTTAAATTAAAAATGGTTGTCAGACATATTTTCAATCATAATTGTACCAAAACAGATTTTATCTTCGTTTAAATGTCAAATATATACATTCGTTTTACATTATCGAATATTACACTCTCTGTTTCTGTTTTAGAACTATTTTAAATCCGTATTAACTTCGAGGTTTTATAGATAATAGCCGAGGACGTTCCAATTAATAACACATGGAAAAAAAAACGGAAGAAGGTAAAAAGAACGTGTCCACGTATCATTTGGCACTGCAAGCTATTAACTGTCTAATTAAACTGGTATTTAATGTTTTGTGTACGTGTGTCTTGAAATGATAGACTGCTTGCTATCAGCACGCATTTATAAAATGACAATGTTTATAAACATTGGAGGAAATCCATTTGTAAATTAACAAGCGAGAAAGGTGTATAAATTTAAAACATATGTTTCCAGCACATTTGATATAAACACATTTATAGGATGTGTCAAGCGAAATATTTCTACGTTCGATTCGCTGGATTAAGACGCTATTTAAATTCCAAGGGTGGTCCTGCCCGTGCAAATGAATAAATTAGCCATGCTTTTATAAAGTATACATGGTCAAAGTTTGAACTTTATCGGGATCCAGTAACGCCAGTGTCTTAAACCGTGATCAGTGTTATTGTAAAAGAAAAAGACAAACAAACACACGGACGCTGTACTTACAAAATGTTAAAAAAATCAGCCCAGGGGATGAAACAGGGTGGTCCCTGTCTTTGCAAATTAACTCTTGAACCAAGACCACACACCGTTTCTAGGGAACAACTGAAGCGCCATAGAAAAAAATGGAAGAGACAGATATTAAAACCGGATTTGTAATGTAGCCGATTTTGTAATGAGAACTGCAATTGTTTGCAAACATTTGTAAAAGAGTAAAAGAATGGACATCTACAACAATGCTTCTTAAGTTTTCTTTTACATATATAATACATATTATATTAATTTTATTATAGTTATTTTTCCTTGTAATGGTAAAGAAATAAATGACTTGAAATGATGTTTTCGTTTTCAGTCTTCATCCCGTTGTAGAAAGTAGTTCTTTTAAATTTTGAAGTGGTCCAATTTAAGTAATCTCTAGCTTGATTGGTCATAATTAAAGTGTATTTATTGCATGTGTGTAGTTTTTTGTGTTATATGGTGACTTAAAAGTTGATTTTTGTGTATTCTCTAGGACCTCATTTGTTGGCGGAAGGATTTAAGGTGTACTACCCACCAATAGTGAGGAGTTTTTTTAAGTGGTGAATTTAAAAGTGTTACAACTGATTCTAACACTCACGTGATTTTGTCACTATAGACAAAGAAGGAAAAAAACTGGTGTTAAACTGCCAATAAACACCGGTTAGGGACTACTTGTATATGCGCTGTTATGTTTTCACCCTCGATTCTATAGTTTACAAAGCATTTTAAAGCAACAATAAAAAGCATTTTTATTTATATTTTCAGTTCGTATAATGTTTTCTTTTCATACAATACCGAAATAATATCTCACATACACTAACGCCACATATTAGATGCATATCAGTTAATAAATAGTTTGACAAAACGGCACTCATGTAAACACAATACGACGTAAGTTTTTATTGTTGAAAACTTGATAAAATAACGTTTTTTCTTATCATTTCTTTTGATCGATAATTTCTATATCTTCGCAACAGTAGGGTGCGAAAATCGAACATCGTTATACGAAAATCGGTACCGGAAGTTATTTCCGCTTGAAAAATAACATTAGTGATTTTCCTTATTTTATCGTGTTAGAATCGAAATAACATCGGCCTGAGAGGTGTAAATTGGCTATTTAACACCGGTTTTGTCGTTTTGATGCACTCAGGCCTACAGCCTTCGTGGTCAATTCCTACGCATCCAAACTCCAAACCGGTGTTAAATAGCCGATATACACCTCTCAGGCCGATGTTATTTCTTAAATGAAGATTCTGAAAAAGTACATGGCTAACACATTATATTTTGGGCATCATTTCACTTAGATAGTGTTGATATTTAAAGTTGAAGACTGTATAAAAACAAGAACAGTGGAATCCAGAATTAAGCCTCAAATGTGACTGATTTACTGTAGAACAAAGAATACGAAAATTTAATGAGCCGAGACCATATCTTGATTTTGAGTGAACTGTGCTATAATATAGGACGGTATGGAGTTTAGATGTGCATTAATATAATAACGAAGGCCATAGGCCCACAAACATCTGAACAACATATCGTGCT